CTGCTGAAATCTGCTCAAATAACTTGATTAATCATTTCAACTTTATATATACAGCTAGCAGCACTGAGAAATAACATGCTGATCAAGTCCTGTGTCAAAAATCACGTCACTGTCAAGGCTTCGGCACGGATTAGCAGAAAGCCTTGAACTAAATGAGCTTTAAAAATACCTCTGATGCTACAAGCTTATAATAAAGCCAAATCCAGGCAAAGCTCACACATGTAATAACTGCGCAAACACATCTTTAGTCACCCGCACATTTTGCTACTTCTTCCTTGAAGAACTTTCCTACTTGAAAAAGAAGGGACTCGTGCACTTTTTCAGATTGATCGGCATGACTTATACGCGCATCAGCCTCGCCGGGCAGGCACAAACCTGTCAGAAAGCGTAGGAGAAAACAAGGGTAGAGCCAGGTGTAGGTTCTTAGAATTGACCATGATTGAGCTGAGTTTCTTGCCAAAGAGGCACGGCGCAAACTGCAGGAGTAACTGGAGCATTCGTGCATGCAGCAGCCGCTGAGTCCAGAACGCTCTGGCTACCCTGACTACAAAAGCAAGTCTTTTAAAACTCCCTCCTCAGGCAAGACAGCCTCAGAGGGCAGCCTATCGCTTGGGGCCAGGGACCAACTCCGGCAGGGTAAGGAGGGTCCTGCTGCAGATCGGACAGCTTTGAGAGCGTGGCCTGCTCTCACTGCAGCCCCACATTTACTCTGTTCCAAGGGTGCAGGTTGGCACTAGGGCTTATGGTCACAAAGACATATAAATACTAGAATAGACTATAACAGCAATTAATTCTCAGTCTTTTAAAAATGCAATCTCTTTTTGGCTCATGCGTGCCACTGCAACTTCCACTCCAGCTGCAGCTCAGTTCCTCTGGATTCGGGGAGCAAGAGCTGGTGTGCAAAGCAGGCTGCAGGCAAGGCAGCCCCAGGTAGCTTCACCTGCGGCTTGGTTACTCCAACATCAAGTGTTTAAAACCGTCTGCTAAGAGAGACAGCAGATAACCAACTCTAGTCTGCTTTAAATGCTTACACACAGCAATTGCAGCCATTTTACATTCTCTGAACCCACTGAACCACAGCTGGCTAGCAGTGCTTTTTCTAAAACTTCGCCTTTCATATTTGAACAGCATCTTTTCTTCCTTGTCAAACCAGGCCTGGCCCTGGCACAAGGTGAGATCCCTCTCAAGGCAACAGGATTAGCCACATATACGACACCTGTCAAGGTGGAAGTCTTTCTACAGACTGCTGTGTCCAGCTTAGCACAGCGCTTGCTATAAACGATCTGTGTGTTGTAGCCGCTAAATCGCAAACACTGAAATTGCTGATAGAAATACTTCATGTTTCCAATGTCTGGAGATAAGTGAATGTTTGGTAAATAAAAACAACTGAAATAAGCTTAAAACAGACAGACCCAAACAACTGTGACTGATCTGATTAAAGTACAACAAACTCAACGTTGACCTGATATAACCTGGTAAAGTACTTCTCACTGTGAGTCATTCTTTACATCTTACCAGAACAGCATATACAGGAATGGTCTGTTCACGATTGCTGGGTTTTTTCCCCCCTTCAGTGAGAAAAACCTTAAACAAGCTTGCCCAGTGAATAAACGTAGTAAGGAATAAAGAGTGAAAATAAAGCCAGTTTGATCCACACGCTCACTATGGTGATGAACTGCTCGGTCAGAGTGTGGGACGCATCAAAGCAGCCTACATCCCACAGGTTTCCTGTTTGCTGGAGTTCTCATATCTTGGCTTGCTCCAAAATATCTCTCTTACCAGTACTAATTGGAGAGGAGAACAAACCTCCTAAAAGGGCAGAGTCAGCCCCCCCAAACCCTTCGACTGTTAACTGCCGTGCAGTGCTCCTGCGAGGCAGAGGCAAACGCATTCCATCCTGAGGCTGATCTTCTTCAGTCACTTATCTCACGACAGTTCTGTGGGGTGTTTCTAGGCAGAGCCCTGTGCAGCCCAAGGTAGGGCTCGCGAGAGCCAGGCCAGCCCCCTCAGGCCGGCGTCCTGGGGAGCAGGAGCGCTCGTCTCAAATCCTCCTTCGCAATCCACGCCTGCTCCCTCACTTCCTTTCTGCCACAGATGGGGCTGTGCA